CCCTCCCCCAGGACCTCACAGAAATGCTCAGCAAATCTGCAAACCTGTTCCTGGGGGTCGGAGATTGGATCACCGTTTTTTCCTCTAATGATGGTAATAGGTGTGGCGCTGCAGGTTACTTTTTTGATGGAGTTAAATAGTGATTTGTGATCACGGGCCACTGAGGCAGACTCCATCTCCTCAGCAACCCGCGACCACCACCCATCCTTACAACGCCTTACGGCTCTCCGAACTTCCGAGCGAAGGCTGCGGTAAACCTCCTCATTCTCTGACGTGGGATGCTGTAGGCGATGAGAGTGGGCCTGTCGCTTTTTCTCAATTAACCTGAACACCTCCTCTGTCAGCCAGGGTTTCTGGGGAGGTCTGGACCGCGTACCCAAAGCAGCCATTGCAGCTGCATGAGTCACAGTCCTAAACCTCGCCCATTTACCCTCGACATCAGGTGGAGTGGGGGACGATGCCAACCCCAGCTGCAAGCGATGATGAAATTCTCGCTTGCAACTTTCATCAGCTAACTGAGACCAGGCCACTTTTGGTTGGAATGGGATCCTGGGTGTACACCCACCACCGGAGTGGAAGAAAGGCAGGCGCATCTTACAGATGACTAGTCGATGGTCAGAGGACAGATCAGCTCCACGGTAGGTCCTGGTGTCAAGGACATGGGTTCGCATCCGCTGGTCCGTCACTATGTAGTCCAGCAGATGTTCTTGCTTGGACCCGGCATGTATCCATGATGTTGTGTGGATGCGCCGATGCCGGAAGAGCGTGTTGGTAATTACAAGCCCATGGGCTGCACAAAAATCTAGCAGCCTCCTACCGTTATTATTGAGCTGATCTGGCCCATGCCTTCCAATCACTCCAGACCAGGTGTCAGCATCATGACCAACTCGGGCATTGAAGTCACCCAACAAGATGACTCTGTCCCGAGTGGCCACTTTAGCCAGCACCTGTGACAGGAGGTCATAGAAAGCGTCTGACTCATCGGCTTTGCTTGCATCCCTCCACGGATGTTCGTCTTCGGTGGGGGCATAAGTAACCACGACCACCACTCCTCGCCTCTGGTTGATGGGAAGGCGAGCCCAAAGTATCCTGGGGCTTACAGCTTCCCACACCTCACCGCCACGCTCCCACGCCCCCTTCATTCTTTTGTTCAGAAGAAGAGCCACACCCTGTTGTTTGGCAGTCTCCTGCCCCGAGTAGAGGACTGTCCACCCCTCATGGTGGCAGGAGCCAGAACCGGTCCACCGGACCTCCTGAATGCCACAGAGATCCAGGCGGTACCGGTCCAGCTCCCGACAGAGGAGTGGCAGCCTCTCCTCCGCAGTGAGCGTTCGAACATTCCACGTGGCCATCCGCAATGGTTTTTTGTTGTTTCTGGAGGAGCCCCGAGGGTGAAAATTCAATCTCCTGGCTCCGCCAAATGGGGTTTGGCCAGGAGACGTCATAAAAGCCTGACCCCCCGGGGCCTCCGGCACAAGCTTATTTGTTACAGATTTATGTTTAATTCGTGGTTTAGTGGTAATGAATTGAAGGTGGAGGGGTTACCAGCCCCTCACACCCGTCCAGAGCCCCCGTTTAGCCACTGTGGTGGTCACAGACGCCATGAGGGGAGAGGCTAATGGGCATTGGCCCTCCCCCCACAGCACTGCCCACGACAGTGTTGCCCGTCCGGCACCGCGAGGAGGTAGGAGGTTGTTTTGCCGGACCACACACACACACACTCTCACACACACACACACACTCTCACACACTCACTCACTCTCACACACACACACACACTCTCACACACACACACACACTCTCACACACACACACACACTCTCACACACACACACACACTCTCACACACACACACACACACTCTCACACACACACACACACTCTCACACACTCACTCACTCTCACACACACACACGACAAAGAGGAGGGGGAGACGGGAAGAGGAATCGAAGATGTATTATACTTATGCCAGACGGCAGGAAATTCCGCTAACGGGACGTTTCGAAATTCCACAAACATTAATTTCTTCCCCTTTTCTGGTGCCGGGGGCGGGGAAGGGAGCTCTGGAAAATGAAGTTGTCATATTTCACATGAGAAGCCATTCCGTGTCAATTACATTGATAAATATTCACACGCAGCCAGCCCTGCTCGGAGCAGGGCACGGCGCCCCACCCGTCACCATCAGCCATGATCAATCCGCTGCTGGATGGAGGCCTCCATGAACCGCTGCCACGTCCTGCGGTCCAGCGGCGCAACGAGGCACGGACTAGCACCTGGCCCCCATGCACACGAGCCGATGATGAAGATGATGATGATGCCGATGATGCTGATCAGGATTGCGTTGTTATCGCTGAATATGTCCTCCCTAAGCCACCGCCGCATCTCGCGATCCTGCGACGCAACAATCCACCCCGCCGCACCTCCACCGAACACGCGTCCATCGCTCCGTCTACAGTTGCGGACTCGGTTAACTCAGCGACTGCCGCTCCGTTAGTATTCTGTCGACTCCGTGGGTGGGGGGGGGGGTGTGGGCGGGCTGGGGGCGGGGTGGTTTATGTTGGGCGGGCAGCGCACCGCCTCCCACCCCTATCATCTCCGTGCGGGACCAGATGTTTTATTCATTAAGAGCGAAAACTATCGTGACCTATCTGTGCGGCGACGCTCATCCCCAGCCGGAATACTGTCCGCATGAATGTGCGAATCCATATTCCACGCGCCGAGTTCGCCCACGACATTACATTTTCAGCGCAGAGACTCGGTGCGCGTGCGTGCGCGTGCGTGCGCGTGCGTGCGTGCATCGGCGTTCGTGTGAATGATGATTGGCAACCCGAGTTCATTTGCACATTCACGGCCAATAATGGCGCCGAATATTGGAACCGATCCTGGGCCTAACATAGGTCGACACCGGCCTTGCAATTGAGTAATCCCGCTGCGGAGTGTAAACGTCAGCATGAGAGAGACAAAGGCGGCCGGTGGTTATGCTGGTCACCCACCCGCTCGTGTAACGTGCCGGATTCCATAGGTGCTCGCCAACAGCACTTGCCCCAACAGCCTGTTAAGGTTATACGGGCAATCTTTGTCTTTGTACGTGTCTCCTGTGCTCGTGCATGCTTGTGCGCGTACGTGTGTGTGTGTGTGCCCACGTGTGTGTGCAATATTAAATTGATGGGGTTTTTTTTTTGGAACACATTAACCCGGAATTATTTGGAACCTCCGCCGCTCTTAACACAGTGTATTATGGTAATAATGCTAAGAGCGCGGGCCAGGAAGATTTAGCGTCTCGCAGCCACGGCCCTTAAAGCACCCGGGTTCTGCCCGCGCACACGCACGCACGCGTGCGTTTCCTGGCGAGCTAATCATCTCTCTGGCTGCAAATAATCATCGCACGACGACTATTACATTTTCGTTTGAAGATATGCCTCGAGTTTCCTGGCTGGCTGGCTGCTTGCTGGGCTCCTGTCAACCTTTTTGTTCGCTGGCTGCGGGCCGTGACTACCGAACCTAAAAGGAATTTTCCGTGTAACAAATAAACAATGAATTGTTCCGAAGACGTAATAGTAATAACAATAGATACAGCGGCATCGGAGAGGTGGGATAACGAACACAAAAAGACTGACCAATGTGTGCTCCTATCAAGGCAACTCTTCCGCCATACAATTATTTAAGCATTATAGAATATAAACATAATAATCTAATTTTATAAGCACCCCTCGGTAGAGGGGTCCTCCTAGGGCTCCCCCCAAACGTGGTGGTGGAGGCCTTGCTGCCAGCAGTGGCTTTGAGCGAGCAACTGCAGTCCTGCGCCTTTATCTTTGCTTCTGCAATTAAATAACAATAACAGTGATGATGATGATCATGTTAAGCTATTATTCAAAACAAGACTCGAGGCAATCAAATTCACACGCACATTGTGTGAATGAGTCAAATACCCCCGGCGGGGACAACCCCCCCGCGTCCTCCCCCAACCCGCAGAACAGAGGGGGTAGCGGGAGGGGAACGAGGCGGAGGGGGTGGGGAGTCGGCATAAAGGGGGTACGGGAGGGCAAGTGATAGTCCCAGTTTGTATCCCCGGAGCGCGTGACCTGATTAAGAGCCATTGCTGTGGGGCAGTCGGGGGGGGGGGGGGGGATGACGCACGGCGTCACGCGGGGACAATCGCGTGGCCATTCAATCATCGCGCTCGAGTCTCTCCCTACCCCTAACGCTAATCCACTCATCCACAACTCGAACAATGCGCCGCTCAATTCGGCTGAGAGCTCGCTTACTTCTGCCGGGACTCAGCGAAAGGGGTGCGCGGTGGGAGGGGACGCGGTGTGGTCACGAGGTGGCCAGAGACAGCGAGTGGCTCTGTCGTGGTAGTGGTGGTGCTGGTGTTGACAGTGGTGGTGGTGGTGGTTGTGGTGTTGGTGGTGGTGGATTATTTCGCGATGAGGATGAGTTGAGATCCGAGTGTTTTACCCGACATTTTCAGTGCAACACAATGTCCTGATATGGGCGATGGGAAGTGAATTACACGATTCACTCCCTGCGAGTGAATACGCAGGTGAGTAGAAAGATGAGCGCACCGGTGAGTCCATGCGTGAGTGACTAATGTAACGTTGGCGAGATGTTAACTACCTTGTCTGATATACAGGAGGGCGTGGGTTCGATCCCCGACCCTGACGCCTGTGTATGTGGAGTTTGCGGGTCTCTCTCTCCCCGTAGTCGCGTGGATTTTTCTCCGGGTCCTCCGGTTTTTCCCTCCACATTTAAAATCAACATCCCGCGTTCAGAGTATTTGGCTGCTATACATTTCCACGTGACAAGCCACTTCGTTAAGCAATCATGTTGTGGCCAGGTCGCTTCTGAAAAAAAGCTACATAACTCAATGGTCCTTACCTGGTAAAAAAAAAAAATTTTATTGTTTAGTTTAGTAACTGCACAGGTGGATGCATAAGCGAGTGCACAGGTGTACCCCCCCATTCCCCCACTTCCCCTACCCCCATGCCCCCACCACTCACCTGGCCGTGTGGTCGGGGTCGCAGGGGCACGGCTGCTCGCAGTTGGGGCCGTAGAGCCCTGGGGGGCAGAGGCGGTGCTCACAGCGGGCCCCGCCGAAGCCCGACTCGCAGAGGCACGCGCCGCTCACGTGGAAGCAGCGTGCGCCGTTGTCGCAGTCGCACGGCAAGGCACAGTCCTGGCCGTGCCTGCCCAGGGGGCACGCGTCCTGGCACCTTGGTGGTGTGGGGGGGGGAGTTGGGGGGAGGGGCAAGTCGGGAGAGTGGGGAGGGGGGCGTAGGCATCATCATCATCATCGCTTTCATGGAACGATCTCCCAGACTCACAGAATATGCAGTCAGGTCACTTCTGTCCGAAGCTGAGAAGAGGAGCGAGCAGCAGTCTCCCTTGCTGGGATTGTCCCCAGGAAAGGTGAGGTTTCAAATATATTCCATCAACTTCAATAATCAACCATGATCAATCTACTGCTGGATGATGGCTTCATCAAAGCCGTCGCCATCTCTCGCGGTCATGCCTGGGATTCCCCCCTCCCCTCCCCCACCCGGTGCGTCCCCTCCTCCAACTCGCGACGTCCATCTCGACCGGGGGCCACCAACCCCTCCTCCTCCTCCTCCCAGCGAAGGCGACAAGTGACACCCTGGTCGAGACGAGGGAGTTCGCGCGAACTCCGCTGAATGTCCGAGTGTTGGGAATTTAAACAAACTGACGATCGTCAGTGGTTGGACGTGACTCGAATCCCCTGCCTCCCTTGCCCTCCATCCCCCCGCCAATGCCACCACCCCCACACCCCCCACACACGCGCACTACTCCCCCCCGCCCCCTTCCCAACGCCTCCCAAATTAAAAGGCAAAAAACACGAACGTGAAATGACTGCTACTGTTGCAGATGCGGATTAGAAGAACGGTATTTATTCCGATCATTATCCTAAATTCTTTTTTTTTAAATACACAAAGAAGGGTGTGAAAATGACTCACTAATATCGAAAGTGCAATTAAAAATGTACGCATTTTACTTTATAGATATAAATAAATGCAGACCCCCCCCCCCCCCCCCATGCTCAGTCAGCATACCCTGTGGAGCAGCAATAAGTTCCAAATTTCGGTCGAGAATTTGACTCATCACCATCATTTAAAAGGGGAACCACGTAACTCATTTAAGGCTGAGTCGACCTGGGGGGTCCTCCCCCAGGTCGACTCAGGACCAGTTCAAATATTTGCCACCGTTATTGGTCGTGAGCGAAGAATCGAACGCGGGTGGCCGGGTTCGCAGCGCAGTGCGTCTAACCACTGCACCACCACTCCCCACACATTAACACACACGCAAAGACAAAATCAAAGATCCCCAGTATATCCTCAACAGACTCTTTTTTTTGCTAAGTGCTGTTAGCGATCACATTTAAAAGCCGGCAGGACGCACGAGGAGGTGGGTGGCCGGCACTACAAAAGACAAAGATCCCCCGTATAGCATTAACACACTGTTGGGGCAAGTGCTGCTAGCGAGCAGCGCCTATGAGGGCCGGAATGGCACACGAGTGGGTGGTCAGCACCACGCGCAGCCTCCTTTGTCTCCCCAGTGGCGATGTTTACTGCACACCGCACCAGGTATTCACTTGAGGCTAGACAAGCACACGCTCGCACATTGTCTACGCACTCACGTGATCTCTGAACGCAATTAATAAGCGAGTGCGCATGTGCGCTCTGCTCACGCGGCGAGCAGAGGAAGGTCAATGTGGCCTGAATACCAAACAACACCACGAGGTCCGCCACACGTGCGCGCAGTGAAGCTCACGCGCGCGTGCACGCACAACGACAGAGATCACCCACATAGCCTTCACAGACTGTTGGGGCAAGGGCTGCTGGCGAGCCCCGGATAAGGCCGGCACGGCACACGTGGGGGTGGATTTAGAAGGAGGGGTGGGGGGTCAGCACCACGCCCGGCCCCGCATTTTGTCTCCCCATTGCGAATGAACTCGAGTCGCCGGGTTCGTAGGGCAGTGCGCTCACCACTGCACCACCGCTCCAAATATTTACAGATACACACACGCACGCCGCTCATACACACACGCACACGCACGCCGCTCACACACGCACGCTGCTCACACACACACGCACGTTGCTCATGCACACACACACGCACACCGCTCATACACACACACACGCACACCGCTCATGCACACACACACGCACACCGCTCATACACACACATACGCACACCGCTCATACACACACGCACACTTACGCTGCTCATACACACACAGGCAACATCTGGGTGCCCCGACCTGATGGACGGTCCGCTTTGCACGAAAGCGACTGTTCGATTTCAACGAAAGGCGCCCTCCAACACCCCCCCGCCCCCCCCCCCACGTGTAATTAAATCGCCCACCCCCATCTCGTCACTTGCGCGTCTCTGTCTCAGACAAAATGCCAAGTAAAACATAAAACATTCGCTCACGCCATCTGAAGAGCAAATTAATTAATGGCATCTGCCCTTCGCTCGTCACGTGGTGCGGCAGTGAGGGCATCACTGGCACGACGGGCCTCGTGTGGTTGATGAAAGGACGCAAATTGACCTCAAACGCACAGGCACACACAGCTACACTCATACCCCTACACACACACACCTACACACACGTGGAGCACACACGAGACAAACAATACCGTCCTATCGCCTTCAACATACTTTTGGAGAAAGTGCTGTTTGCGAGCACCTATGAAGACCGGCTCTATGTAGACATCACACCAGGTACCCATTTGAGGCTGAGTCGACCTAGAGGATCGCCTAGGACTGGTTCAGATAATCGCCACCGGTTTCGCGCGTGAGCGGGAATCGAACTCTGTTCGGCGGATCCGTGGCTCAGCGCGCTACCCGCTGCGCCACCGCCCCCCGTACTCACACGCGCTCAGTGACGCGCGCGCACGGCCTCGAGAGAGCGTGGCGAGAGATGGCGGGGGGGGGGGCCTGTGGGGGGAGCGGGGGGGGGGATCTGGGTGGGGGGGTGGCTTAGAGGGGAGGGAGAAGGGAGGGTGGCCTTGCCAGATACAGCAGATGGTGGTGGTGGTGCTGGTGGAGTGGTTGTGGTCGTGGTGGTGTTTGTTGTTGTGATGCGGTGGAGGAGCGGGGTTCGCGCTCGATGCTCCCAACCCGGCGACCTGAGTTTAGTTGATGGTCATGCACAGCACGGAGCAATCGCCACTCGATCAGCGGGGAAGTTATTTACAAACGTACGCGGACCTTTGTACGAGTACCGTACTCTGTGCAATGCGAAAAAAAAACATCAACAGAGAGACAAAGGTGGCCGGGCGTGTTTCTGGCCCCACCACCCCATCCAGCACTTCCCACAACAGCCTGGTTGGACGCCGCACCGGGGCTGTCTTTGTGCGCGTGCGAGTGAGTACCTTGAGCTGGTGTACCCCGGCGGGCACGTGCACCTCCCCGTCACGTGGTCGCACTGCGCGCCGTTGTGACAGCGGCACCGCTCGGCGCAGTTGTCCCCGAAGCGGCCCGGGGGACACGGAACGGCGCACGCGGCCCCCTGGAGGGGGCGGGGGGCACGGGGGGGGGGGGGTCACCGGGAAGAAAAGGAGGATTGTAGTGACCGGAAGGGAATCAGGAAATAGGAAAGAGATCGGGGGGCTATGAGATTCGGAGTCAAGGTGATCAGATAAGGAGATCAGGAAACTAGGATTCAAAATTCCCTTTGGGATCAGAAGATGAAGAGACGATGGGACCCGGATAGACCAGGAGAAAACGAGGAGCTCGAATCAGGAAATCAGAAGATAAGGAGACCAGATCAGGAGGCCAGACCATGAGGTGATCGGAAGACCGAACTATCGGGGTGGCCAGGAGAGACGATATTCGGGAGATCAGAAGCTGTGTGAAGAAGACCGTGAGATGAGCGAATGAGAACGGGTAAGTCAGGAGATGAGAGACAGTGTCCGCCTCCTCGACTCGCTTTGCTCCTCTTGACAACAACTTGGAAGTGACACCAATCAATACAAAAATATTTTTACAAAAAATCTGATTTGATGAAAAAAATTTTACTTTTAACAAGATAACCGAAATTTTGTCTGATCGGCTGAAAAGTGAGAGAGAGAGATACATCCTGATGAAGGGCAAGAGGAGAGACACAGCGAGGAGGAGGCGGCGGGAGGAGAGATACATTTCGAGAGGGGTCGAGAGTTGAGAGAGGAGCGAACGAGAGAAAGGAGAGGCAAAAACGAGAGACGCAGAGGGGAGAGGGGGGGGGGGGGATAGAAAGTGGAGAGAGGAAGAGATGCGAAGAGGTGGAAATCGAGGGCAGGAGAGAGATGAAGAGTCGACGCAGGAGCGAGACGGAGAGAGAGCGGAGAGGAAAAAGAAGGAGGCACGCGGAGAGACGAGGAAAGACACAACGGAGAGAGAATGAGATGGATGGATGGAGAGTTGAGAGGAAATAAAATGGGAGAGACGGAGAGAGCAGGAGAACGAGAGACGCGACACGGAGATCACAATGCAGGGTCGCTCACGCGCACGCGATCCATCACGGCCTCTCAATCAATCACGCGCGCGCATCCTCTCGCTCCTCTCCCGCGCCGCGTCAACAGTTTATGAGTTTTATTTTCTAGAGGCCTCACCATAAGAGGGTGGGGGGTGGCACATTTCTCTGCATTAAACGCAACTGTCCCCTTTATTTGAAAGAGTAAACGTTTTTGCTTGACTCTTTCCCGAGGCGGGGAAGGATATTTTCATCATTCTCCCCAGCGGAGCATGGCTGAGGGTACAGAGGGAGAGAGAGACAGGGGAGAAGGCACTTGTACCGAAATGAGATCGTGGCCGCTGTGTGGTGGGGGGGGGGGCAGCAGACGCCACGTGCGGATGCAGCTGCTGGCTGCGTTTGCTGCGACGCATGATCGGATGCTACCTTCATCCAGCAGTGGATTGAACAGGACCGCATCTGCTGCGGCTGATGATGATGATGATCGGAAAAGAGTTGCATGGAATTGCTCACCAGAGTGATACAACTGGGTTCCTGACCGTAACTCTAAAATGTATAGTTGTTATCATTAACAGGCACTCAAGCGCATGTATGTACGTTGAACTTCTTTCACACCGTACGTAGCTAGCCGCGCTAGTCGGAGGACACGAAACTGAACACAAAATGCGGTTCTGAAGAAATTAGTTATCAAAGAAGCCACGGGACACACGCCCCTGCACGTGTAGCTACAAGAGAAGAGCTGGTTCTAGTGTTGGGGTTAGATATTTTTCGCCAGTGAATTCTGCTCCACACGTGTCATTGACAAAACCACGAGTGTCTATGACTACTGCCTTGTTGATGCAAATTCGACACGCGGATGGAGTCGAGGTGACACGCGAGGTGTAGAGATGATGGTGATGTCTGGTGGAGGTGTGCAAATGATGGTGATGATGTCTGCTAGACATATACACATGCTATTCGAGATGATCGATGATGATATATGGTGGAGCTGTAGATATCATGGTCCAATGATGGTGTGGAGATGATGACTTCTGGTGGTAGTGTAGAAATGGTGATGATGATGATGTTTGGTGGACGTACAGAGCTGACACAGAGATGGCGATGGATGGTGATGACGAGATCTGATGGAGATGATTTGTAAGTCTGGTGGATTGTAGAGCTGACGGCGCGGGTGGATGTAATCCGGTGGAGGTCTCGCGGTGATGGAGATGTTGGGTGAAGGTATCACGATTACCCTCATATCCAGTGAGTATCTAGAGTGAGTGGTGATATCTGGTAGACGTATCGAGTTCGTCATGATGACGACGACGATGATGGCACCTGCTGGTGCCGTGTGAGTGATGGGTGGCGATGATGATGGTGTCTGCTGGTGCCGTATGGATGATCGGTGGCAATGATGATGGTGCCTGCTGGTGCCGTATGGATGATGGGTGGCGATGATGATGATGATGGTGGTTGCTGGTGCCGTATGGATGATGGGTGGCGATGATGATGTTGCTGCTGCTGTTGCTGTCCCGTGGAGGATGTGAACGAGCCACGGGGGCGTCCTCACCGTCCACCCCGGCGCACAGACGCACGGTCCCGCCGCGCCCTGAGGGCACGAGCCTCCGTTCTGGCACGGGCACCGCGCCTCCTCCACGCAGACGCCCCCTGTGCATCGCTCGTCGCAGCTGCACGCGCCACGGGCCAGCCACGGGGAGGTGGGGGGGGGGCAGGGAGAGTTGAGGGAGAGGTGGTGGGGGGATGGAACATGATGTGAGGAATGGGGAAGTGAGGTTTTAATTATAGATTTGAAGCTTTTGTGACCGCAAGTATTCATATTCTTAGGTTTTTTTCGGTAAAGTCACGTAGGTAAAAAATCAAAATAAATAAAAGTAAAATAAAAATAAAATAAAAATCACGACGTTTCGGAGGCAACACAAGCTTCCGTCTTCAGGTGGAACCGTCACAGCACGCTTGCTGTAATTATTTTACTTTAATTTTACTTTTATTAATTTAGATTTTTTACCTACGTGAATTTACCGAAAAAACCTAAGAATAAAAAAGTGAGGTTTTATTGTCGCGTATGATGCCAGCAACTTGGTTCAAGATCTCGACGCCAGTGTCGAGCTCACAATGCTGCTGCTGCTGACCTCGACGAGAGAGCTTCAGCAGAGAGAGAGAGAGTTCGTGTCACTTTGATTTTCCTCCTCCGTTGAAAGTTCACAGACTACTACAGTGGGTTTACTCTACGGTCCATGGGAGTCATTTGCAAGAGTGACCTTGGGCATTCGTCTGTCAGTAGGTGGGCGATCATTGCTGCTGCTGCTGTGTGTGAGTATCATCCCATTTGAGTAATTTGCGGGTAATTTTGGAATGTTATAGGGGTCGGTGTACCCACACTTTACCCCACCAAGCACGACTCTGCCCATGGACGAACTGTGGTGGGGTAGTAGCGGGGAGAGGGTGGAGGGCAGGGATTGAATAAACTTGCGCCGGGAAATCGAACCGGCGACCAGCTGATGATGGTGGCCGTTATTTACGTCTCCACGTGGAAACCATTCAACCAATCACGCTCGCCTCGGGGCGCCGCGCTATCGCCTGCGGGTGGCGGGCAGGGCGGTCCATAGGGGGGATGCAGGGCCCGGGGCAATTCACACCGGAAGTATTACATCTGACGTACCGTCCAAACGCCCCCCCCCCTGAGCGAGGGGCCCGGGGCAATCTCCCCGATTCGTCGTACCCTAGGGACGGCTCTGGTGGCGGAGTGGCGCTTTCCCTGAATCCTTCAAAGCCACCCCGCTCCAATTTGATATCGGATCAACGCCCACCCATCCGCCTCATGCTCGCGGGGGGTCTCCCACCCGCTCCCAAGAGATGGGAAACGCCATGAGGCTTAAAGCGACCCCCCACCCCACGTCCCGTCGCGAGCTATGGACGGTGAAAGCAAAGAGCTGACAGCAGCGAGAGAGGCAGAGAGAGGCAGAGAGAATGGTCGCGTGACGGCCCAGCCGCAATTCCTGCCGTCACGGCATCCATGTCGACATAGACCTGACCCAGCGATTCCAAAACTCCGGTCCTAAACAAGCATGTCTACGTTATGAGCCAATTCAAACTAAGACTGAGATTTCAGTGTGCGCGCGCGCGTTCACGTGTTCCGCGTGACGCAGACAGCGTCAATGGCATTGCGTGTCACGCGGGCTGTGTTTAACAATCATGGGGCGCGTGCAGCGTGGAGCGTGGAGCGTGGAGCGTGGAAAGCGTTAATTCGTTGTAGAATGGGAAGGGAATTGGTAAGCGATGAGAGGCGCAGCGTGATGGTGGGTGGCGATGACTGTGGTTTGCGAAACCGTGACCCAACTTGGATAATTGCAGCTCTGAGACGAACAGAGAAGCATATAAGCAAACGACGCGTCACTCCACGTGGTCAATATATCAAGGTACGTCTTACACATTCCATCAGCCGCACGGCCTTCTGGGAGTGCACCATTTCAGCAGAATTCATTCAAAAGCAACGAGCGAAACCCTGGACCGGTTTTCGGCATGCAGTGTCTCATCAGCAAAGTGAGGCGTAAATGAAACCAACGACCTGCCGATCTGCATCTGGCTGTCGCCTGATGAAGTTAGTTGTAAATACTGGCGAAACGTCGAACTCAGATTGTAAATGTTGTGGTTTGGCTCTCCAACACACCGGTTAGCGCTGTACTCGTGACGAATTGACCACGTTCTGTTTACGTGACAACCCTTACTATTTGGCTGTGTCGGGTGGTGGCGGGCTTTAACGGCACATTTATACATTTACGCGATCTAACCCCAACCACCTCTGTTATGGAGGAATTAAGCGGGTGATCGTGCGAAGAGCGACAGTTCTCTCTTACGGCAGGGCGTGCGGGAATGTGATGGCATCATAACGTGGTCCCTCGGATGGCATCTCAGATGGCATCATCAAGACGGCATCACAAAGTGGCTACTCAGATGGCTTCTCAAAAGAATGACGACGACGATGGTAAACCATAGCCGTTCTTCATCCACCGATGGGATGATTAACACGATGGCACAATTGGGAAGAGCAACCGTGCGAAGAAGAGACGGCAAACATAAAAATAAACGAACGAACGATTGATTCATGTTCCACCGTCGAGTCAATTGTAAGCGACGATTCCTCACAGCGGCGCGGTGAACCCAGGCTGGCACACGCACTGTCCCGTGGCAGGGTGGCACGTGGCCCCGTTGTGACAGCGGCACGGCACGAGGCAGCTCGGTCCGTACGTCCCCGGGGGGCACGGCTCCCCGCACTGGGCTCCCCGGAAGCCGGGGGCGCAGTCGCAGACCCCCGTCAAGGGGTTACACCGAGCCCCGTTCAGACACTGACAGCGGTGGGTGCAGTGGGGACCCCAGCGGTCGCTGGGGCAGCCTGGGGGGGGAGGGGAGGGGGGCGGGGGAGCAGGGCGTGATCCGGCTCACGGCCAACACCAGCGACGATTATCTGAACCGGTCCTGGGCCTCCCCTAGGTCGACTCAGCCTCAAATGAGTCGTCGATACGGTTGCGTGAACATCGCTACTGGGGAGACAAAGGCGGCCCGGGCGTGGTGACGGCCACCCACCCCCGTGCCGGCCTTCATAGGTGCTGCTCGCTAACAGCACTTGCCCCAACAGTCTGCTGAGGCTATACGGGGGATCTTTATCTTTGTCTCTATGCATGCACGTACCGTATGTCCAAAAACTAAGTGGGGATGGGGGGAGGGAGGGAAGAAGGGGGGGGAGATGGTTCTGTGGAATGGGGGTCAAGGTGAGTTTGCGACGGCGGGCGGGGGGGGGGGGCAGGAGGTGGGGGAACGAGGGAGAGGGGGGGGCGGTTCTTTGAAATGGGGGTCGAAAGGGGGGTCAAGGTGGGTGGCGGCGGCGTTGGAGAAGGAGAGGTGGGTGGGGGGCTGTGAATGAGAAGGGGGGGGGTGATGGGGGGGGGGGGAATCGGGGACACGGGGAGGCGAGCTCATCACGTGCCCGTCACGTGGCGGTTAATCCGCACGGGGGACACCGGCTCACAGTCTGCGGGGTCATGAGGTCAAATCTCAGTCGGGGATCAACTCAGTCCATCATCATCATTCTTCATCACCCAACATGATCCCCATCATCATCGTCATCGTCGCCATCAACATATTACAATTCGTCACCATAATCGACATCATCATCACCGTCTCCGCCATCATCGTCGTCATACACAACGTTATCAGGATCACTATCAACACCATCACCACCGTCAAACAATCAGTGATGCTTTCCTGAATGAATAACCTCGCAATATAATGTGAAGTTAATTATTAATTCTCGTATTAATGCATTAATATTAAATTGCCGAGACATGTCAATGCCGATCAGGATCAAGACGGCATTGTGGCCAAAGCCGTTGATGCTTCCACCACGACAACAAACACCACCACCACTCCACCACCACCACCACCACCACCACTCCACCACCAGACACCACCACCACCACTCCACCATACCAGACACCACCACAACTCCACCACCACCAGACGTAAACAGCAGAAACGAGCACCACTCCACCACCAGACACCACCACCACCACTCCACCACCACCAGACACCACCACCAGACACCACCACCACTCCACCACCACAACTCCACCACCACCGGACACCACCACCACTCCACCACCACAACTCGCTGCTACCACCACCAGACACCACCACCACCACTCCACCACCACAACTCCACCACCACCAGACACCACCACCACCACTCCACCACCACCAGACACCACCACCAGACACCACCACCACTCCACCGCCACAACTCCACCACCACCAGACACCACCACCACTAGACACCACCACCACTCCACCACCACAACTCGCTGCTACCACCACAACTCGCTGCTACCACCACCACCACTACACCACCACACACCACCACCACACTCTCGCTGCTACTGGGTTCTTCCCTCCCCCAGGCTCCGTGAGCAGCGGCTGCAAATGAACGACCTCCAAGGTCCTCTTGTAAACTAACCCAGAGACTCGGGCGTGTGTGTGTGTGTGCGTTCTGGATACAATAGAGCATGCGGTGGCGCTACTAAGAGCGACACGTGAGCACTCGCGTGGTCCCTGCGTGCCAGGCTTGGTACATGCAAGATGACGTCGGCGGCAAGAAAACCCTGGGCAATCGGCGGAGCAACCAAATCGCTCTTGAAATCATCGCGCGCGCAACTCACTCGCCTGCAGATGCTTTGTCCACATCGGAGCAAACAAAGTGGAAATGCAATGCTACATTCAGAATTGTGACGGCCAATCACAGCTGCGCAAACGGGCAAGCACGTGGCGATGGAGGCCGCCGTTACAAATCGTCGAGCAGATCAATTATTGAAAGTCGAGTCTGTTGTCTCTGACCGTGAGCAGCAACCGATTGCGCAACTCCTCGCAACTGGTTGCAAGAAACGTCCACGTATAAGCGACCCAGGTGCAGGCAGCCAATGCGTGCAACCGGATCGCTGGAGTATGGACCCTGCTTCATGGCGGGCGTCTGCGGGTTTCAGTTCGTTGTGCAGTCCAAGCCCTGAGCAAAAATGGAGGCTCACTTAAGAGCATGGTTTTGCATCTCGTCGTGGTCGTTGTTATTCTGGTTAATGGCGATGTGCCAATATAGTTTATCCACTGGGATCCAGCGAGAGGGCTCTTCCGTCTCGAGGCATTCTCAGCATCGCATCTCTTTGTAGCGACAGCCCACTGAGCCTATAAATTACCCGGGCACTATTATTTATTTTACATCTTCCTTTGACAGCCGCTTTAGGTGGGATCAACGTTGGGAGGGAGGAGAAGGGGTGGGTAAAGAGGGGGTTGGGGGGAGTGAAAGGGGTGGGGAGGAGGGGAGGATAGATGGGGGGCGTGGGGGAGATCTCTGGCGGACGATATTCAGGGACGAGTCCTCTATTCTCTCAGAGACCCCTCTCTCCTCCCTTTCCTTCCCCTGCTCCCAGCTAAAGCGTCGGTGTCTCTGCGTCGGTGTCTCTGCGGAGGGGAGAGGTGGTGAACCACCCTGGCGAATCCGTACAGCCGAGTTCGATTCGCGGCCACGGCTAACACCGTGCGCGGCGGAGTGGTTTCAAACCCCGGGTCCTTTGCCTCCCCCCCCCCCTAGGGCGACTCAACCTAAACGTGATTACAGTACTGGGGAGACAAAGGCGGCCGTGTGTGCGTGCAAGTTGAGCACGCACCGCTGGAGCAGTCGGCCCCTCCCCAGCCGGGCTCGCACAGGCACGCGTCCGGTGCCACGCACGTCCCGTGCACGCACTCGCCTCGGCACAGCGCTGCGGAGGGGGGGGGGGTGCAGGGGGGGGCAGTGGGAGGGTGAACGCGGGGGAGGCGGCGGGAGGAGGGTGGGTGGAGTGTATGTGGCAAGGCGTGAGGGTGTGTGTCAGAGTGTGTGGCAGTTGTGTAGAGTGAGGTGTGTGTGTGAAGGTGTAGTAAGTGTAAGTAAGTGATGTTGTTTGTTTGGGGGGTGGCCGTGTTGGTGATGTAGTGTGTGCGGGGGGGGGGGCAGAACGCACAACGCGGTTTATCACGCGGAGAAGCAACATAACAACAACAACAACCATCGCTTTTCTCGTGCCTACACACAACGCGTACACGCAGCGCATGCACGAGGCTGCTGGAAACCTTCATTACACATTTTTAACAGTCGTAATATTTTTGCAAACTAAATATCCACGTTTCTCTTTGCATCCATGCCAGGTAGGTAACGTTCCATGGACGTGGCCCAGGCTCAAGGACTACCCCTCCGGCCTCAGCGGCCACGCGTGACCTTGAAAGACGACCCGGCAAACCCACAGCATCGGTCAAGGAGCCATCCTACTGCCACGACTAAGCGCGTGCCGCTGTCTTCAGCCCTGCTGACAGGCGGCAGGTCGGCAGGGTCGGCGTGGCAGGTAGGATTGTGAGGGTCTAGGTATGGTGGGTGGGTAGGAAGTGGCATTTGTCTAGATTCGCTTGGTATTCTCTCCAGTTCGTTCCCATTGTGCTCTAGGCATCATGTCACGAGACGGTGAATCTTTTCGGGGATATCACCGTGAGTAGTCCCGTACGTCTCCGCATTTGACATATATCGTTGTATAATATTGAAGACCATCACGATGCTTATTATGACAATGGTTATCAGGATGATGATGATGGCTATGATGACAATGATCAGGATTATGAAGATGATGAAGACGATGATGACAATGATTACCGTGACGATGACTGATAACACTGGTCTGCAGCCAAAATGCTTCCGAAATAAATGTCGTCCAACTTTACTCATTCTGGGTCACTGAATGATTGGCTATAGTTTTCAAGATATATTACGGGGTCAGTATATACGACCCAGTAACATATCTACGACCCTTGACTTGGGAATGGCGGAGGATAAGTGAGTTTTAAAGAGAAGAGATCTCAATGTAAATTAGAAATGACCAAAATACATCTTTGACTGGATCTATGAATACATCTATGACTGGTTTGGACAGTACTTGCTTTTTGAGCAAAACAATGAATGATGGAATCTGAACCTGTTATTGCATCATACATGATATAATTTGCATCATGCTATTCCATGAAGACATGGATGATGCAATCATAACGAGGCTTACATCCTTCTGCTGAAAAAAATTGCCCTATATCAGCTCTAGAAATCATACAGCGTCGTGCTCTCTTATTTGTCAGTGTATTAGTTTGCAAAGGGGACGCATTTATGTTTAGCCAAAGTGAGCAGAGATGCCTTGTTCTTGTGTGAACAAAGCAGATAACTTCTGCTATGTTTGTGGTGAAGTTACTTTTGCATCACAAAAGCGCAGTATAACCACTATGGTTAAGAAAGCCTATCACCTTTATTTTGGCTGCAAAATTGGAGATCAGGACAAGATGTGGGCCCCACACATATGCTGCAACACTTGTGCAACAAATCTTCGCCAGTGGTTGAACAGGAAAAGGAAATCGATGCCTTTTGCAGTGCCAATGATTTGGAGAGAGCCAACAGATCATATTATCAATTGTTACTTCTGCATGGCGCCTCCAGTTGGGAGAGGTGTGTCAAAGAATAAACAGTGGACTGTGCATTATCCAAACATCCATCAGCTATTCGCCCAGTACCCCACTGAGAAGGACTGCCGGTTCCTGATGCACCAGAATCATTCTCACTTGAATCAGACGAGGGAGAGGATGAAACTTCTGGTCCTGAACCATCAAGGTCACATGACCCAGATTTTGTCCCATCTTCCTCCTCTGAACCACACCTCATAACACAAGGTGAACTGCAAGACCTTGTCAGGGATTTGGAACTACCCAAGAGTAAGGCAGAGCTGTTGGGCTCCAGACTGCAGCAGTGGAATCTCCGGGCAGGTGATGTTTGGGTTTCCATGTTCCATGCCCGTCAAAAGGATATTGTTCCATTCTTCTTTATGGAAGGTGATCTTGTAGCCTGCAACAACATCGATGGTATGATAGCAGCCCTCAACAGCGTTCATGATCCAGATGAGTGGAGACTGTTCATTGATTCATCGAAGATGAGTCTTAAAGCTGATTGCTGCATAATAGCAATGTTTTGCCATCAATTCAATTTGGTCATGTAGTCCATATGAAGGAAACCTATAGTAACATTAAACATCTTTTGAGGTGCATAAACTATGACCAACATGAGTGGCAGCTTTGTGGCGACTTGAAGGTCGTTGCTCTCTTGCTTGGTCTGCAGACTGGACACACAAAGTACTGCTGCTGCTTTATCTGCGAATGGGATAGTCGTGCGAGAGATTCTCACTACATCAAGATAGATTGTCCACTCCGACAGTCATTGGAGCCTGGGAGGAAAAGTGTTCAGCATCCACCACTTGTTGAATCAAGGAAGATGTTGTTACCACCCATACACATCAAGCTGGGTCTGATGAAGAACTTTGTCTAAGCCATGGACACAACACAAGCAGCTTTCAAGTACCTCCGTGGAAATTTTCCAAGGTTAAGTGAAGCTAAGATAAAGGAAGGTGTCTTTGTTGGTCCTCAGATTCGGGAACTTCTTCGAGATGATGCATTTGTAGCGACATTAGGGATGTCACTGTATGGTGCCGGCCCGGGAGGGCAGTGGCGTGCGATGTTCTGACGTCGCGGACAGCACCACGTAGCTTGCTGTGTGATGCCGGCTTCAGCATAGCACGGCGTGCGATGCACCGTCATCGCGTACACCCCGTAGGAGGGTGGAGTACCATCCCTAGCGGGGCTTGGTGAGCACTGGGATAGCGCGGGCACCACGCATGGCGTGTAGTGCGGGCTCCCACAAGGGGGAGTGGGAGAGTGTCAGCCCAGGGACAGGGTTGCCCCGGGCCATGGCACTCTGGTTGACCCCGTAGACACGTGATCTGGAGTATCCACAGAGAAGGCCCCAGGTGGGGGGGCTAGGAGGTGATCACGTGTCCGGGGAGAGCTCGCGAGGGGGATCGAGAGGGGCCTAACACGCTCGAGAAGGCGGGCAGGGCTGAGGGCGGAGCCAGCCCCGACCCGGGAGGATATAAGGTGGGTCCCTGAGAGGGACCGGGGTCGCTGCATTCTACAAGCTGGAAGCTCCACGTCTACAAGCTGGAAGCTCCACGTCTACAAGCTGGAAGCTCTACGTCCCACGAGGCATCAACACGTGGCCGGGGACCCGAGTGATGGTCCGACCCTTCGTAGCTGTAACTCTTACGTATAGTGTAGTTAGCTGGGTGGTCACTACCCCAGGCTGTATCTGATAAAGGGGCAGTTACCCCTTTGTATGTACGTGTTACAATGAATATGTTGCCTCTGAAGAATAACGTCTGCGACACAGTTGGAATCACTACACATTTGACAGTAAACTGTGTGGCAAGGAAAGACTTCCAGCTGGTGGCAACACATTTTCTCGGAAACAACAAGGCAGACAACTACAGGGAGTTGGTGGAAAACCTCAAGGCAAACAAAAGCCTTGGTAGCAACATGTCACTAAAGATATTTTTTTGCAATCTCATCTAGATTTTTTTCCCACCGAACTGCAGTGAGCGAAGAGCATAGCGAGTGATTTCACCAGGACATTGCAACAATGGAAAAACGCTATCAGGGCAAATGGAGCCCATCAATGCTTGCAGACTATTGCTGGACAGTGACAAGAGATGATCCATTTAATGAATACAAGAGACAAGCCAAGAAGCGCAAAGTAGACACTGAATAAGGACTAAACTATGTACTGAAAAAAACATAATAGTGTTTTGCCTTTTGCTTCATAATACATTTTACTTATATAACATTTTTGATGATTTTAAAGTGTTACATGAACAGGACAGGTAACATGTTATCGTGTAAAGAAACCATAACACATGAAAAACCTAGGTTTACAATTTATGAGTAAAACTATCTGTCGACACAATATACATAGACGTAAAATGTAAGAAATTCAATATCTTTGGAACAGTAGCCAATCGGCTGTTTTAATTGTCATATTTGAATTCAGCACATCACAATCCATAGTAAACAGCACATTTAATCTCTGAAGCAGACAACGTCTAAACAAATTGTAGACCAGTGTGATTAAGTCGAGGATAATTACGACAAATGATCACTTGCAATTGCTTTTGACATTCTTATCTGTTTACATATTGGTACGATAGTCACCCTACGTATGTTTAATGTCTCTGTAACTCGCAATTGTGCTATGATCCGTCTAAAAAAGAATCTGCCCGAGTCGATGCACGCTGCAGGGAATTTAACATCCATCTTTAATCTAACGTTGATTTATGTTCTATTTCTCATGTCGACGGGCTTGTTTCGCGTGTGTGTGCTGATTTGTCACGTGCCTCATTGCTGTCCCTTATTTTATTGGGTTTTCTTTTGCTTTGTGCCACATTGGTGACCCGGGTCACTGGTGCACAAACGAGAACCGGCCTCACTCTCCTGAGTTCTCCGTCGTTGCACGAAATCGACTTGAACCTTGAACTCCGCGTGTCAGAGAACGACTGCGGCAGAGATTCTTCTCAGAAATGTCCCCGTCCCCCCAATAAAATAAAAATTCAAACAACCTTCATGATTGACACAGTAGGGGGCGCACTTACCCACACACTGCTATGAGATTGGCACATGACAGTCAGTCTGACATTGGCTAGGTACAAACGCAATATGAATACGATGGTTCCCAGCCCGATGGTACCGGGCTGGTACCTTCAACTTGCAACTCTTGAGAGCCACATTAAAGTCGTGGACCACGGAGAAAACGCGCCACGCATACGAGGAGGTTAACGTTCTACACATTTCCTACACATTTGCAATTGTACTCCACGTGGCATTCGCAGGCAGCCTTCACATGAGTGCGGCTGAACAACCTCAACACCTGCTGAGCTTCTGAGCGAGATCGGACGCGGGGTCGGAGTCTCAGCACGCGAACGAGCGGTCACGCGGCACCCGACTCAAACCCCGGCGACGAGGACTCAAACTCGGGAGTGTTTGGCTCTGCGGTTGTGGCAACGTATGGGCAGCTTCGCCCCCTGCTCCCTCACTCCCTCGCCCTCCTAGCACCATCACCAGCAGCCAAAACCCACGCTGATCCCTTCCTCAGTCGCGTCTCTCAATATTAACTCTCTCCACACAGCCTCATTAATATTGTAATTACAGCGGTCATTACCAAGCGGGGAGCTGCCACGGGCTGCTGACCTTGCGAGAGACTCTGTGCGTGGTCACTAGGGGAGGGGAGGGGGGGCATTCGCGTGCCGAGATGCTCCGCATTCACTCGCACCTCGGCGGATTCAGCAAAATCGCGATTCACGCAGTCACGGGTTCCACACTGCTCGCAATGCGTGGTGCGTCGCGGAGGCCCGCGGGCATATGTCCTGTGACGAGTGGATGATTGTGGTGCTCATTTGAGACTGAGTCGACCTAGGGGAGGTCCAGCTATTCGTCAGCGGTGTTGGGTGGCCTTGAGCGGGAATTTAAACTCGGGTCGCGGGGTTCGTAGCGCAGCGCGACAATCACAACGCCGCCGTTCCGCACACAACAACAACAACCGCCATTCGCCACTAAGTAGCGGTGACGTCACCACGACGCTTGTGCCAGGCTATGTGCACATTGAGGCCACGTGAAGTGTCGAACGCCCGCTGGTAGGAGGTCACGGGGCAGACCCAGGTGCCACACACACATACCCTGACACACACACACACACACACCTTGACACACACACACACCTTGACACACACCCTAACATACCCTGACACACGCACACACGAACCCTAACACACCCTGACAGACACACCCTGACACACACACACCCTAACACACCCTGACACACACACGCACACTAACACACCCTGACACACACACGCACCCTAACACACACACACACTCTGACACACACACACCCTAACAAACCCTGACACACACACACACACCATAAGACGCGCGCCGTCGCGTGACACCTCGAGGCAAATCAGCCCGCGCCTTCTTCCCGAGATGAACCCTCACGAGTGCAGCAGCAGTAGTAGCAGCAGCAGCAGCGGCGGCGGCGGCAGCGGCGGCGGCGGCGGCAGCGGCGGCAGCGGCAGCCCCGACTCGCGACAGAAACCACAGCCCCCCCCCCCCCCCCCACGATTATGCCATCCTACCCCCCCCCCTACTCTACCCCCCCCCCTACTCTACCCCCCCCACCACCACCGATTCCACACACCCCCCCCCGCTCCAAACAAAAGCAACCTTCTGCTTCAGCTGGCACCATCACACAAATAAACAACATCCCCTACCCCAATATCACACCCCATCACCACCACCGCCGCCGCCGCTCTGCTTGTTTCCCTGGCAACAGACAATTCTTGGTGTCTCGGGATGACCCGGGGTTCTGGGCTGAGCAGTGAACCACCGGGGGGCTCGCAACCTGCGTCCCCCGTGTCGGCACCCGGGAACAATGGGAGACGAGGCAGCAGCGGCAGCGGCAGCAGCGGCGGCGACATTGCTGGGAGACAAAGGCGGCGCACGTGGGGGGCGTGGAGATGAGGATGAGGAGGGGGGGGGTCACGTTTGTTTCTATCTTCACCATGCCTCGATGTTGGTCATTGATCCCTCTGCTATGATGGAGGAGGGTCATGACCCAAAACGTCATCTAAAGTTACGATATTGTTCATTTGCGGTCATATATGGTCGCGTGTTAACTGTGCGCGTGGAGCGTTGATCATGGTGTGTGCGTGTGTGTGCGTGTGCGTGTGTGCGCGCGTGCATGTGTGTGCGCGTGTGCATGTGTGCGCGTGCGTGCGTGTGTGAACGTTTGATGCTGACACCGCTGATCACGCTCCGGATAATAATACGACTGATGCTGATGAGGTGCTGATGATGCGCATGATCACAATGTCGATGGCATTGTATGCGAGAGTATTATTGATATGAACATAATGATCAAAGTGACACTCGAATCGCTCACATTACAAAGGCTCGTGCTAACGAGTTGCTGACGGTTTGAACAATCACTGAGATCCATGATGACGATGATGACAATGCGGGTGCCTGGTTTTTTTTCTCTCCCCGGAGACAATCATATTCCAAGTTGACTCCGTCGTGAGCATCAGCGCGCCGATTGCATTTGTGTGGTATTGTCGCCATCGGCGGCACGGTGAGTCACTCGCATACCCAGCAAGCAAACGCAGTCGCCAGAGAGAGGGAGAAAGAGAGAGCCCGTCCGAGAGTAATTGAGCAAAATGTGCAAATACATCACCCCCCACGGCGGCCACTTAGCCCGCATCAACTATCAAGACCTCCTCCTGTTAGCGAGCACCTGTTCGGTGCGCCCCAATGCACAAGTGGCTCGTGTGTGACTGTGTTGTGACTGTGTGTGTGTGACTGTATGTGTAACTGTGTGTGTGTGACTGTATGTGTGTGTGACTGTGTGTGGGGAGCGGTAGTGCAGCGGTTAGCGCGCTGCGCTATGAACCCGGAGACACGGGTTCGATTCCCGCTCACGGCCAACACCAGTGAAGATTATCTGAACCGGTCCTGGGCCTCCCCTAGGTCGACTCAGCCTGAAATGAGTACCTGGTGCGGTGTGTAAACATCGCCACTGGGGAGACAAAGGCGGTCGGGCGTGGTGCTGGCCACCCACCCCCTCGTGTACCGTTCCGGCCTTCATAGGTGCTCGCTAACAGCACTTGCCCCTACAGTCTGTTAAGGCTATACGGGGGATCTTTGTGTGTGAGTGTGTGTTGTGAGTGTGTGTTGTGAGTGTGTGTGTGTGTGTGTGTGTGTGTGACTGTGTGTGTGACTGTGTGTGTGACGGTGTGTGTGACTGTGTTGTGAGAGTGTGTGTGAGAGTGTGTGTGAGAGTGTGGTGTGAGAGTGTGTGTGAGAGTGTCTGTGAGAGTGTGTGTGACTGTGTTTTGTGTCTGTGTGTCTGTGTGTGACTGTGTGTGACTGTGTTTTGTGTCTGTGTGTGACTGTGTGTGACTGTGTTTGTGTCTGTGTGTGACTGTGTGTGTACTGTGTGTGACTGTGTGTGATTTTGTGGGGGAGCGGTGGCGCAGCGGGTTCGTGCACGACGCTACGAACCCGGCCACCCGAGTTTGATTCCCGCTCACGGCCAATACCAGTGACGGTAACCTGAAGCGGTCCTGGGCCTCTCTTAGGTCGACTCGGCCTCAAATTAATACTTGGTGCCGAGTGTAATCATCGCGACTAGGGAGACAAAGGCGGCCGTGCGTGGTGCTGGTCACCCACCCCCTAGTTTGCCGTGCCGACTTTCATAGGTGCTCGCGAACAGCACTTGCCCCAACAGCAGCCAGCTATGGCTGCACGGGGGGAGCTTTGTCTTTTGTGCGAGTGTGTTGTTTGTGTTGTTGTTTGTGTTGTTGTTTTTGTTGTTGTTGTTGTTGCGTGTTGTTGTTTGTGTTGTTGTTTGTGTTGTTGTTGTTTGTGTTGTTGTTTGTGTTGTTGTTTGTGTTGTTGTTGTTGTTGCTGCGTGTCCCTGCTGAGCCTTACGGACGCATCCGTCGGCGCTCTCGTCGTGTCCGGGGCAGCACTGCGCGCGCCTGCGGTACATGGTGCGCACTCCGCGGCGGTAGGCGGTGCGGTAGCTGACCCTGGCGCAGCAAACGCACGGACGCACACACACGTACACACACACGTACACACACACGCGTACACACACACACGTACACACACACACGTACACACACACACACACGTACACACACACCACACTACACACACACACACGTAACACCACACACATGTACACACACACACGTACACACACACACGAACAACACACACACTGTAAACACCACACACATGTACACACACAAACGTACACACACACGTACACACACACGTACACGTACACCCACGTACACACACATGAACACACAGACACATACACACACTCGTACACACACACGTATACACACACGTACACACACACGAACACACAGACACGTACACACACACACAAACACACAGACACGTACACACGTACACACACACACAAATTCAAGGATCACTTAAGTTGTCATACAATGTTTGCCCGAGTGCTGTTAATGTAGCCCCTATTTTAATTTCAGCCCACACACGGGGGGGAGGTGTAGCAAGCAAAGTGCTGGTGTGTAAAATCCACGCCAGCCACTCGATCTAGAGGCACTGCCACCACTGCTGCTGAAACGTGGTTACGCAACACAATACACACATCGACAGTGCAGCCCACATCGTGTTAGAACACACACACATGCGAATGAACACACACACACATGCGAATGAAACACACACATGCGAATGAACACACACATGCGAATGAACACACACACACATGCGAATGAACACACACACAAACTACAGACAACGGCAGAACTCTCCGCAACATAGCGACTCACAACCACGCCCGACCGCCTTTGTCTCCCTATTGGCGATGTTTACACACCGCATCAGCTACTAATTTGAGGCCGAGTCGACCTAGGAGAGGCCCAGGACCTGTTCAGATAATCGTCATTGGTGCTGGTGGCCTTGAACGGGAATCTAAATCGGCTCGCCGAGTTCGTAGCGCAGCGTAGCGCCAACCGCTGCGCCACCGCTCCCCACACACGCGGGCTCACACGCACAGAGACACACGTGGGCTCACGCGCGAGCCACGGGCGCGCAGAGCATGGGCAGCAGGAGCTGTGAAGGGCGCGATTGGCGAGTGTCACGGCGTGGCTGCCCCCCCCCCACCCACTGTGTGACTCTCACTGCACACGAACGCGCGCGTGAACAGAGGCAGGAGGGCACACAGCAACACGGAGGTGTGTCTGCGAAGGCACGGACAAAGAAAGACCTTCCGCGGACACACACACAAAGACAAAGATCCCCCGTGTAGGCTTTAACAGATTGTTGGAGGCAAGTGATGTTAGCGAGCACCTATGAAGACCGCAACGGAACACGATGGGGTGGGTGGTCAGCACCACGCCAGGCCGCCTTTGTCTTCCCTGTGGCGATGCTTTACACACCGCACCAGGTACTAATTTAAGGCTGAGTCGACCTAGGGGAGGTCGCCCAGAACCCGCGCGCAGCCGCTCAGAACAGAAGGGCGGTCCTCTGAGCAGATGACCCCCGCACACGACACGGATCAGCCCCCCGGCCGCCCCTCTTCGCTGAAATTCCCCAAGCGAGCTCGGACCGCGTGGATGAGCGGAGGAAACCTCCCGAGGAGAGGCAGAAACCCCCCCACTCAAGCGTGGAGCTATCGCCGCCACAAAGTCCACACACAGCGGCCAGAACCCCTCCACTCACTTGGTGTGTCCTGCCAATCATCTGGCTAGGGTCTCGCAGCCTGCGGGGGGGCTTGTGAGTTTGAGCAGAGACGATGGTGTCACCAACGTGAACAACACCATCAACGTTATGCAACCCAGACCACAAACCCATTGAGACTGAACGTTTTTTAGGCGATATCTGTGGAGACAAATACGGTAAAGGGGTATTATTTATTCTATTCTTGGCATTCTCTACAATGATGCGTTATGATTATTCTGCGTCACGTGCTGTTGAGTCGTGCGTCGAACGAGGAGCCACACCGAACCGAGAGGTCCCTTGCCTACGAACATCTGGGCAGTTCACCAGCATTGACTCAAGCAAAGCCCGACTCTGCTGCTGATGAGACGCTGAATGTCGAACTGGCGCCGAGTTTGCTTTTATGAAACCAATGCTGCTGATAAAGCTGCCCTCCCGACGGATGCGATGTTCTATGTGGAGTGACGAATGCGGGCAGGAGTTATTTTACTCACTAACATCTGCGCAGCGACGCTCAACGATTGTTCCGCGTTGCGTGCGTTTGGTTTCAAAGGGGACCTGACATTCACTCGGTACATTCACAACGACTCATTCGTCCCGGAAAGCCACCGGGAGAAAACCCACGCGCGCGAGGGGGCAACCCTCTATCCCCGTAGAGATGGAAAGAAAAAGGCGACCGAGTCAACTTGCTGTGCCTACTTCTCCTGGCGAGCCCAGGGTTTGATGGCGCCTCTTCGGCAGTTTCACAACATCCGTGTGTGATCGACAAACCCTCGTTTCTGCCTCCATAGCAGTGGAGTGAGTGCGGGCAAGCCGCGTATCATCGCATGCACAATGGACCCGGAATCATCCACCTCGTAATAAAACCAAACATCCCCACGACTAATAATACATAGACGAGAAAATTAAACGCGAAACTACAATTCCAATTATATAAAATTTTCGCGGTGGCACTGGATGTAATTTAAAAGCATTTACGTTTCACGGGGATCAAACAAAGTCGTCGAAACGTTCCCGCTCATACCAAGCCAGGAGACTCAATTCCTATAGGCTTCTCGTTCATTGCAGGAATTTGAATGTGGAGTTAATAAAGCGGAGCCTCTACTCGCCTAAGCCTCAAATTCAAACGCCGGACGAGCGGATCTCTCCATCGTCGTCATCATCATCATCGCTGCGTTCAGCCAGGGTCGATCCACTGCTGAATGAAGGCCTCCCTCCCCAAGCCGCCACCACAAGCCATGATCCCGGCGATCCAACAACAATCGATCCACCCAGCACGTGCACACAAACTAATTTCATCGCTCCATCTCTACCATGAAACGAATCATCTTCTTGGTTCTTTCGGTAAAGTCACGTAGAAGGGAAGTAATAAAATAATAAAAAGAAGATGAATCCCTGCAGTCACGAAAGCTTTAAATCGAAACATGAAACGAATGTTTATCGGACGACGCGAATAGTACATGGGTAAGAAGTAGTGTTGATCAAATGTAATTGATAATAATGATAATGTATATATTAACGTAGCACATTAATGGGCAGTCGCCTGGTTGGGGAATAACAAAATAATATAACATCTCTACGAGACCCTTTTGACCATCTCAATACCCGCATTCTTGTCGGAAAGTGGAAAGCCTGTATATATATATTTAACGAATAATACATAATTAAGATGGCGATTATGTAAATCCCTGGGTGGTCCGCCAACCCCCTTGACTACAAAAGCGTGGGCTCGTTATGGCTCGCGAAGCGTGCTTTAAGAGCGGCGGCTGTAAATATAATGAATGTGGTGGCGCTCCGCGCTCGGGAGAGGCGCTAATTTGGGCCCCGCAATTGCGCGATAATCAATGCCCATTGTGAGCACTCGCGGAGGCGGCACGAGACACGGCATCGACTCCTCCAGCATCGACGACTCTTCCCACCACCACCACCACCCAATCGCCCGTGTTGTTCCATCGATTGTGAATGTGTGGAGCGTGCTTGCGGGCGTGTGACGGACAGAGGTGTGTGTGTGTGTTGGAGTGTTTTATTTTGTTTGTGTGAGATAGAGAAAGGGGAGCGATGGCGTGTAGTGGTTCTGTCACTGCGCTATGAACCCGGCGGCCCGAGTTCAATGCAGGCTCGCGACCAACAACAATCGCGAGTATTTTAACTCGTCCTGGGCCTCCATTAGGTCGACTCAGCCTTAAACGAATACCTGGTACGGTGTGTGAAACATACACATTGGGGAGACGAAGGCTACCCAACCCCCTGGTGTGCCGTGCGGGCCTTCATAGGTGCACGCTCACAGCACTTGCCCCAACAGTCTGTTCGAGGCTATATATGGGGGAGATTATGATATTGATGCATAGGCGGTATTTTATATGGACAGGTAGCTGTGGGGGGGGGGGGGTGTAACGGGGCGGGGGGGGCACACCAACGTTAAATGGTGGAGGAGCTAGCCCCCACCCCCCACGGGGTCACGTGGGCGCACACACCTGTGTCTCGTGCACTTGAACCAGTTTAGGATGTCTGTGCAGCGCGTGTAGTACACCTGGTCGTAGGGGTGCGCGTACGACTCCTGCACAGTCAGGGCGTAGCTGCAACAACAACAACAAATAACATCCACAACAACAATAATATTAGCAACAGCACGAACATTGGCGTCATTATCTTCAAACACAAGAACATCATTATCATCAACTGATCCATCATTACCCTTGACAGTACCACCACCAACAACAACGACAGCCACCACCAACGTCAACGAGAGAGTGGGGAGAGAGAGCGAGAGAGTGAACGTGCGAGGGAGAGTTGTGGAGAGAGCGGGAGAGAGAAAGAGAGAGGCAGCCCCCCCTCCCCCCCCCGTGATCCGAGCCCAGGAATCGAGGGGGGCTCTGCTGGTGACGCGTGGAGCTCCGGGCGGCGAGGAGGGGAAGAAAAGAGGAGAAGCGATTTCGCCCTCCCATAAATTTTAGCGCAATTAATTAGCCGTGGCTTCTTCTCTGGCGGCGAGTTCGTCAATCGGTCTCGTCAATTACCGAGGCACTTGCCCCACAACCCCCCCCCCCCACACAGCGCTGATTGCCCCTCCCCCACACCCACCACCGTCCATTCACCACACGCCCCCGCACTCCCTCTTCCTTCGACAACCACGTGCTCTCGCCCACTGACGTCACCCTCCAGTCAACCCCCCCCACTCCCCAAAGACAAAGTTCCCCCGTATAGCCTGAGCATTCTGTAGGGGCAAGTGCTGTTAGCGAGTAGCACCCATGAAGGCCGGCACGGCACACGAGGGGGTTGGTGGCGAGCACCACGCTCGGCCGCCGTTGTCTCCCGAGTGGTTATGTTTACACACCGCACTGGGTGCTCATTTGAGGCTGAGTCGACCTAGGGGAGCTCCAGGACCGGCTGACATAATCGAACTCGGGTCGCCGGACTCGTACGCAGCGTAGCGCTAACCGCTGCACCACCGCTCCCCATTTATCTCTCTTATTCCCCCATTCATACCTCTTCATATCATCATCCTCCTCCTACACCACACCAGCCTCTTCCTCCTCCTAACCCCCCCCCCCCCATTCGAACCTCTCCGATCGGCCAGGTGGGTTCAGCGGTGGAAGTTATCGGCTCGCAGCAATCGGGAGGCTGCGAGTTCAGATCCTGGTCGGAGGGGGTCCACTCAGTCCATCATCCCTCTGGGGGCCGAACAGATGAGAAGCATTCTGCGAGGGAGCCAACTTTACTGGCTCGCGGCTGCACTCGAAGAAAACGGCATTCTCGATGCTCATTAGAGCAGGAGATTGCCTGGACGTCGTACTTCCCTCTACCGCCCTCATCTTTACACCGCCACCTCTCTCTTCCCTCATCCTGCTTCTCCGGCTTCATTCACCGCCACTCTCCCCTCTCTTCATCCCTCCTCCTCCTCCTCCCCTTCTCCGGCTCGTTACACCGCTAACCCTCATCCGCCCCCACCTCATCCTCCTTACACCACCGCCACCCTCCTCCCCCTGCTCCTTACACCTACTCCGTCTCATCCTCCTCCGCGTCTCTGACATGAGTGTTCTCGAGAGGACGCGATGTGATTCTCGGCAGGGAGATCGCGGTCACGACTGTCGATACTTTTCATTTATTTACTGCCTGCCGATCGCGCCCTTCGCTCGCTGCCAATAAGCTTGGAGAGTTTTGTGTTTCGTGACTTTTGATCGATGGACGTTGGGGGGAGGCGTTCGTCCAGCAGTGGATTTCCCCAAAGGTGCTGTCTGTGCATCTGCATGCAGCCGCGTGTACGCCAAATATTATCAGTGCCAGACTTCAGCTTTTCTCGCCCCCTCTTGAACATTCGCTAACATTTGCATAATTCACCCATGACCGGCCCCAATTCATTAAACACGACGGCGCATATGCGCATTAGAATATTTAGAGCGCGTGTGAACCAGTTTACAAACATTTTATCCAACACCGCCCTCGTGTTCTCACGGCACTGGAAGTTAGTTTGCACGTTTCGCGATTACATCTCCTTAACAAAACAAAATCAGCGGTGGGACTTAGACATTTCTCTCGGAGCTGTTTCACGCAACTTGGCTGCTTGCAGCCGAAGCCAAGAAGCTGGTAATTTCTTTCCACATTACAAACAGTCGGCGCACTGGCAAAACGAGCATTGGCTCCGGTATTTTTGGTGGAGCAACTTAAGCGTGAACGTTTGCACGTTGAACTTCGTTTGCACCGCACGTAGCCAACCGCGCGAGTCGGGAGGTTCGCGGGGTAATGTCTTCGAGTGGCGTTCGGGACTATCGACTGAGTGAGTGGCAGCCAGGGAACCCGGGAAGATGCGCGCGTGGCCGCACGCGCATCGCGGAGATGGAGTGTTGAATTCGCGGGATCGTGAGAGATGGTGACGGTTTATAGGGAGGCCTTCGTCCAGCGGTGAATAGATCGTGGCTGCTGACAGCGATGACTTGCGGGTTTTCCCACCAACACAACTCACCAGAGCCAAGGCGTTTTGCACCACGCATTTGGTGGAACAATGCACACCCATTTGTCTTCCCACCAACAAATTGTTGGAAGCTGTCTTGGGTGGGGGGAACCACAACCCCCTACAACCGCCCCCCCCCCCCAATATATTATCAACAGAAATAAATCTCTGTAAACCATCATTACTGTCCACACGAGGATGTGACACAAGATTAAACATTGCAGCACCACCGCAGAGAAGTTCACATTGCATGTGACGCGATACCCTTTCCAAAGAGCCTATTCCATCCGAATAGATGTTTATGTTTTGCTGCAGCTGGCATTATTACTAAACATTACTTTTTTAATAATTCACATTTTGCAAACCTGCTCCACTCTCTCACCGCCTCGCTCTTCCCCGTATCCCCAGGATCCTCCCCGCTGGTACCCCCTCCCCCTTCCCCCTCCCTACACCCCAACCAGCCTCTTTGAGGAGGTAAACAGTGAAGCATAAATAAAGTCAAGTGAATAAAAGACTGCGGACGGAGGGACCAGACTTCAAATGAGAATTTTAGGCTCCGGCAATAAAATATGGCCCCGTGAACACGGGGTGAGATGAAAAGTCACTGCTCACACTCAGCCAGCACCCCACCCCTCAACCCCGAGCGAGCGTCACCTCGAGCCCCGAGCGGGGATCTCGGTCTATTACCATAATTTGCTCAAACAACAGCGGTGTTGGCGATAGAGCGACACTCTCCCTCCCCTCTCTCTCTCTCTGCCGTCTCGCCGCTGCAGCCTCTCCGTGGACCGAGGGGGCCGGCGCCCAAACAAGGCAAGCTGAGCACTACGGTCAAGCAAGTGAGCCTCCGCGCCGACGCCGCCTTTGTGGTTTACATCGAATTGAATGACCTCGAAATGTGGTCGCATGTTAACGCGTCACTCCGCACCCCCCCCCCCTCCCGTCAGCAGCTCCGTTTTTTGTAAATCCTCTGACATTTCTCAGGCAGAAATGACGGACGAGGCTAACGCCGGAGTGGCGGCCAAAGGATGGAACGCGCTCCAGTTCGCCGTGGTCCAATGGGCAGGCTGGACGACCAGGTCTGCTGGCGTGCGGGAGCTACAGTGATTGTTCAATCACCGGACCGCAGAGATATGGTGACGACTTAAGGGGCAAGGACTTTCATCCAGCAGTGGAGAGATCATTGCGTATGATGACAATGATGGTGATAGTTATTGAAGTAATACAAGAGTAATGCTATTCGTTGGCTGTGGTTCAGAAAAAAAATTTGAATAAATAAACGGAGGCAGAATCCTTGGAGGATTTGGCAGTCGGTGCGGGTGATCCTGAGGTTGATCTAGGGTTGAAGAAGGATTCCGTAAAGGATTGGGTCACAGGCAGAGGAGAGGATCAGGCGCTTCAGCCTGGACTTGAACATGGACTGGACTTAGGGACAGGGGTCTGTGAACGCAGCAGCCACAGCGGCGTCAGATCCACGTGTCGACCTGACAGCCGACTCCACCCACGAGTCTCTGGACTCGTGATCGGGAGGATCCTGCCACGTTGGGATGTTTGTCAGATTCCATTCTCGAGCGTTTTTCTTTTTGCCTTCATCTGGGAGGAAAGTGAATAACCCGGAGAAAATCCCACGGCCCATACGCGGATTGGGCTGATCAATGCTCAAAGCTCCGCACAGACAGATTCAAGAATCAAGCTTCGATACGGACTCCCATCATCTGACCACCTCGCAGCCCCAGCCTATAACACCTAGCATTCTCAGGCAGCCCCCCCCCCCCCCGATCCAAGCACCAACACGCAAAGATCCGCACGGACGGGTTCACGAACCCACTCGCCGTCAACGGCCGCCATCCCTCCCCAGGCCACTCGCGGGCCCGCGAGAACGAGTGCGAGGGGCGCACGGATCTCGTGGCCCGCCCACGAAGCCGAGCGACGCCGGGGCCGCCGGGCACGCGGTCGTAAACTCGCCGCGATTCATTCGATGAAAGCGACGTCGCCCGCGAGAAGGGGCCGTTAAGAACGGAATTAATTCCCCATAAACTAATTAAGCCATCAATGTGCAAATGCGGCGCGTGGGCTGCGTGCACTACACACATACTGCGTGTGTGCACTACACACGCAGTATGTGTGTAGTGCACACATACTGCGTGTGTGTTGTACACACATACTGCGTGTGTGTAGTACACACATACTGCGTGTGTGTTCTACACACATACTGCGTGTGTGTAGTACACACATACTGCGTGTGTGTAGTGCACACATACTGCGTGTGTGTTGTACACACATACTGCGTGTGTGTAGTACACACATACTGCGTGTGTGTGTGCTACACACATACTGTGTGTGTGTACTACACACATACTGCGTGTGTGTAGTGCACACATACTGCGTGTGTGTTGTACACACATACTGTGTGTGTGTACTACACACATACTGCGTGTGTGCACTACACACATACTGCGTGTGTGCACTACACACATACTGTGTGTGTGCACTACACACATACTGTGTGTGTGCACTACACACATACTGTGTGTGTGTACTACACACATACTGCGTGTGTGCACTACACACATACTGTGTGTGTGCACTACACACATACTGTGTGTGTGCACTACACACATACTGTGTGTGTGCACTACACACATACTGTGTGTGTGCACTACACACATACTGCGTGTGTGCACTACACACATACTGTGTGTGTGCACTACACACATACTGCGTGTGTGCACTACACACAGTATGTGTTGTACACACATACTGCGTGTGTGCACTACACACATACTGCGTGTGTGCACTACACACATACTGCGTGTGTGCACTACACACATACTGCGTGTGTGCACTACACACATACTGCGTGTGTGTTGTACACACATACTGCGTGTGTGCACTACACACATACTGCGTGTGTGCACTACACACATACTGCGTGTGTGCACTACACACATACTGCGTGTGTGTACTACACACATACTGTGTGTGTGCACTACACACATACTGCGTGTGTGCACTACACACATACTGCGTGTGTGCACTACACACATACTGTGTGTGTGCACTACACACATACTGCGTGTGTGTTGTACACACATACTGCGTGTGTGCACTACACACATACTGCGTGTGTGCAGTACACACATACTGCGTGTGTGCACTACACACATACTGCGTGTGTGCACTACACACATACTGCGTGTGTGCACTACACACATACTGCGTGTGTGCACTACACACATACTGCGTGTGTGCACTACACACATACTGCGTGTGTGCACTACACACATACTGCGTGTGTGCACTACACACATACTGCGTGTGTGCACTACACACATACTGCGTGTGTGCACTACACACATACTGCGTGTGTGCACTACACACATACTGCGTGTGTGCACTACACACATACTGCGTGTGTGCACTACACACATACTGCGTGTGTGCACTACACACATACTGCGTGTGTGCACTACACACATACTGCGTGTGTGCACTACACACATACTGCGTGTGTGCACTACCACATACTGCGTGTGTGCACTACACACATACTGCGTGTGTGCACTACACACATACTGCGTGTGTGCACTACACACATACTGCGTGTGTGCACTACACACATACTGCGTGTGTGCACTACACACATACTGCGTGTGTGCACTACACACATACTGCGTGTGTGCACTACACACATACTGCGTGTGTGCACTACACACATACTGCGTGTGTGCACTACACACATACTGCGTGTGTGCACTACACACATACTGCGTGTGTGCACTACACACATACTGCGTGTGTGCACTACACACATACTGCGTGTGTGTACTACACACATACTGCGTGTGTGCACTACACACATACTGCGTGTGTGCACTACACACATACTGCGTGTGTGCACTACACACATACTGTCGTGTGTGCACTACACACATACTGGTGTGTGCACACACACATACTGCGTGTGTGCACTACACACATACTGCGTGTGTGCACTACACACATACTGCGTGTGTGCACTACACACATACTGCGTGTGTGCACTACACACATACTGCGTGTGTGCACTACACACATACTGCGTGTGTGCACTACACACATACTGCGTGTGTGCACTACACACATACTGCGTGTGTGCACACACACATACTGCGTGTGTGCACACACACATACTGCGTGTGTGCACTACACACATACTGCGTGTGTGCACTACACACATACTGCGTGTGTGCACTACACACATACTGCGTGTGTGCACTACACACATACTGCGTGTGTGCACTACACACATACTGCGTGTGTGCACTACACACATACTGTGTGTGTGCACTACACACATACTGTGTGTGTGCACTACACACATACTGTGTGTGTGCACTACACACATACTGCGTGTGTGCACTACACACATACTGCGTGTGTGCACTACACACATACTGCGTGTGTGCACTACACACATACTGCGTGTGTGCACTACACACATACTGTGTGTGTGCACTACACACATACTGCGTGTGTGTGTGCACTACACACATACTGCGTGTGTGCACTACACACATACTGCGTGTGTGCACTACACACATACTGCGTGTGTGTTCTACACACATACTGCGTGTGTGTTCTACACACATACTGCGTGTGTGCGCTACACACATACTGCGTGTGTGTTCTACACACATACTGTGTGTGTGCACTACACACATACTGCGTGTGTGTTCTACACACATACTGCGTGTGTGCACTACACACATACTGCGTGTGTGTGTGCACTACACACATACTGCGTGTGTGCACTACACACATACTGCGTGTGTGTGTGCACTACACACATACTGCGTGTGTGCACTACACACATACTGCGTGTGTGCACTACACACATACTGCGTGTGTGCACTACACACATACTGCGTGTGTGCACTACACACATACTGCGTGTGTGCACTACACACATACTGCGTGTGTGCACTACACACATACTGCGTGTGTGCACTACACACATACTGCGTGTGTGTAGTACACACATACTGTGTGTGTGCACTACACACATACTGTGTGTGTGCACTACACACATACTGCGTGTGTGCACTACACACATACTGCGTGTGTGTAGTACACACATACTGTGTGTGTGCACTACACACATACTGTGTGTGTGCACTACACACATACTGCGTGTGTGCACTACACACATACTGCGTGTGTGCACTACACACATACTGCGTGTGTGTAGTACACACATACTGTGTGTGTGTACTACACACATACTGTGTGTGTGCACTACACACATACTGTGTGTGTGCACTACACACATACTGTGTGTGTGCACTACACACATACTGTGTGTGTGCACTACACACATACTGCGTGTGTGCACTACACACATACTGCGTGTGTGTACTACACACATACTGTGTGTGTGTACTACACACATACTGTGTGTGTGTACTACACACATACTGCGTGTGTGCACTACACACATACTGCGTGTGTGCACTACACACATACTGTGTGTGTGTACTACACACATACTGTGTGTGTGCACTACACACATACTGTGTGTGTGCACTACACACATACTGCGTGTGTGCACTACACACATACTGCGTGTGTGTGTGTGTGCACTACACACATACTGCGTGTGTGCTACACACATACTGCGTGTGTGCGCTACACACGCAGTATGTGTGTAGTACACACATACTGCGTGTGTGTTGTACACACATACTGCGTGTATGTGCTACACACATACTGCGTGTGTGCGCTACACACGCAGTATGTGTGTAGTACACACATACTGCGTGTGTGTTGTACACACATACTGCGTGTGTGCACTACACACATACTGCGTGTGTGTGTGTGTGCTACACACATACTGCGTGCGTGTAGTACACACACGCACGCCAGGCCCTGGCTCGCCAAGTGGACTAATCGCCATCGGTTTCCCATCTGTACGGGGCCAGAGTGTGCAGCTTGCCCCCAATGCAAGCCGCGCTGCTCCGGTTTTCCTGTCACGTGTGTAGCAGTGCTAATAAACACTCACCACGGATCTGCCGTGTAAAATAGTGGGGCAACTGGCTAAACGGGTCCATCATCCGTGTAACAAATCAAATGAACTCATGAATTGGCTGAACACACGTCTTAACTAAAACGTCCTAACGCAGTAGGAGGACCCGTCTAAAAGGAGCCATACGACTCGGTGTGGCTCTCCTGGATACATAAATAAAGGTTCGTGAATTTCGAATGGTGTGGTGGGGGGGGGGGAGTGGGGGGGTGAAGTGGGGGAGGTGGGGGGGGGAAGTGGGGGGAGGTGGGGGGGGGGGGAGGTGGGGGGGGGAGTGGGGGGAGCGTGACCATGGACAGAACCCCACCACCCCGCTCGCCCTCGCTCGTGGTCTAACCGCAGCTTTCGGTGAGCCGCAGTGATCGGAGTGTGTCCGGGTGTTTTGAAAAAAAAAAACCTGTCCTTATCATCATTACCATCAATCGCAGCCAATCATCAACATCTATATATGTTAGTTACAATCATCATCACCATCGTCGCTTTACAGAAACGGGTGGGAAACTGGGGAGAGAAAGAGACGCAGGCAGAGGAGAAGAGGTGGCTTCTTGAGCCTGGATATTGATCAGGGCCAGGGGGTCGACAGCACGGTGGGCTGGAGGCGGTGGAGCTCCAGACACTGAGCGGGCAGCAGAGGGGGATGAGCGGCGTGAGTGGCAGCCGGGCCAAGGAAACAGCAGATGCGGGAAATGTCGCGCAGGCGGAGGAGGTGTGGAATCCTGCAGAGCTGAGATGCGTGGGGAGAAAACGAAGTCTTAAGAGGGCTCAATGAGAAAAGGTCTTACCAACTTTTCACAAAGCGCACTGCACTCCGCGATGAATTCATCAATTTAGCAAAAAAAAAAAATCCAGTCGCGATTGACATTCCTGTTAAACCTGGACCGGACATTTTACCCTCACCACCAACCGAGACCCCCACCCCACCCACCCCCTGCGCCCCGCCCCCACTCCCCGCGCCTTCTGACCTCTCCCAGTGGCTGCACACGTTGGGGTCTTCAGGGTCCAGGCTCCACGTGGTTCGCGCGAGGCTCACGATGCCGAACAACAGCAGCAGCAGCAGCGGCGGTGGCGGCTGCAGGACGCGGAGACGCGGCATGGCGAGCTGGCAACGAGACAGAGAGAGACAGAGTGAGACAGAGAGTGAGACAGAGAGTGAGCTCGAGTTGCAGGGTCACGTCGCGTAATTAGGAGAGCCGGGGTAGAGTCGTATTTACAAGAGTGACCTCACAACGCTCTGGGGTCAATGCGCGACCTTACGGGGTTACCCACACATGTGACCTGGCGATATTCGTTACCATGCAGGGACATTCACGACACGCTGTCGAACGCGACCTTCCGCGAACGTACATGGCCTTCGAGGAAGAGTCATGATCTTGCAGAAACGTACAAAGATCCCCCGTATAGCCTGAAAGAGACTTTTGGAGCAAGTGCTGTTAGCAAGCACCTCTGAAGGTCGGCACGGCACACGACGGGGTGGGTGGCTAAAACCTCGCCAGGCCGCCTTTGTCTTCCCAGTGGTGAGAACCCCTTCTCCCCGCTCTCCCCATCCCCCTCTCTAAACAGCGAGGGGGGCTCTCGTGCCTACCTTGAATTTGGTTTTCATAGCTGACCCAGAGCGTGTTGGTGACCACCACATGAACAACGACTCTACCCCCCCCCCTTGGTGACCACCACATGAACACCCACTCTACCCCCCCCCCCCCCTGTGAGCAGCATCCCTCCCTACAGCCCCCTCTATCCTCACCTGCCAAATTCAACAATACACCAATTGAATAATTAATCCCACATCTTCCCCTTTCTCCCCAATGCTCATGACTTAATTCCCCATCTTACCTGCACCCTCCCCCACATCCTCCCTCCCTTGTGTGTGCGTATGTTAAACCTCTTTCACACTGCACGCAGCCAACCGTGCCAAAAGCAGGTCCCTTCTAACCTCCGAACCCACCGTCTGCTCCCCCAAATAATTGCGCCTCGTCTCCTAGCTCGTCGGTGCCCCCCCCTCCTGCCCCCCTCCCTCTCCCGTCGCGGCTAATGACCCCCGCGCGAGTTATCTCTCCACTCGAGTCGGATAAGCGCCCGCCGCGCGTCGCACCCGTCACACTGAAGGCGAATTAAACGGCGTGGCTGTGTGCAGCTGCCAGAGAATGATGAGGAGATGGTCAATGAACGCGCACAGACCCCCCCTCCCCATCCCGCTCCCACACCAGCCTCGCCACAAACCATGGGCGAATATGGACCCTTGGGGCAATGCTCGTCTTGCACAATGATGGCAGCAGCAGCAACAATGTGTTCTTCGGGAACTCCGTGCCAATGTCGAGGTCTGCTGCTCGCCAGAGGGCTTCAGTGGCGAGAGAGAGAGAGTTCGTGTGATGTTGCTGTTCCGTTGAAAGAGCGCAGACTACAGCGGCCCGTACTTTGTGTTGCATGGCCACCCTCCCCCGACTGTGGCTTGTCTGGTGTCTGTATGCGCATCTGCGAGTCTCTCTCGAGCTCTACGTTGTCTCTATGGGGTTACGATATGCTCCATAGTTTGGGTTTCAGGACCACAAGCTCACCAACCGTGGGTTGTCTTTAATCTCCCATTCATGAAGTTGGAGCAATTACTCAAGCATAGTGAACCGAAGACCCCCGGCATAGCCTGAGAAGACTTTTGGGGAAAGTGTTGTTAACGAGCAGCACTTATGTGGGCCTGCACCGCACACGAGAGCGTTGATGGTCAGCACCACGCCCGGCCGTCTTTGTCTTCCGAGTGGCGATGGTCACACATCGCACCAGACACTCATTTGAGGCTGCGACGACCTAGGGGAGGTCCCGAGAACCGGTTCAGATAATCGTCACTGGCGTTGGCCGTGAGCGCGGATCAAACGCTGGTCCGCTCCACTCCCCGACACACACACACACAAACACTCACACGACCTCATGAATACAATCCCTTGAATGACATTATATAACCATGTGTAACAAAACAATATTATTATTTTATTCCTGGGTAGTAAGTCTTATTTCTTCTTTGCTTATGCCCCAAAAGTACAGAAAGTGGTTATTATTCTCCACAAACTTTGCTTTTGTGACCAGGACAATGATATTTTGAAATTGACCTATTTTCAAAGATAAAACGTGGTGTGCATTTGTGTTTTTCGTTCACGTAAAGTTCTGGTCACAAAAGCAAAGTTTGTGTGTAATAATAGCCATTTTCTATGCTTTTGAGGCATAAGCAATTAGAAAATAACACTTACTACCCAGGAACAAAAATCGTTCTACATCGTGAATTATTATTAAGTATTATAATTGACTATCGACAATCCTTCATCCAGCAGTGGATTGACCACGAGTGACGATGATGGTGGAGATGAGCAACACCCTCCCCCCACCCATTATTGGCTGGGGGGGGGCCGGGGGAGTTAAGTGAAGGTGGGGGGCAGGGTGGGGGGCAGGGTGGGGGGCAGGGTGGGGTGGTGGAGGGGAGGGGGCGGGGGAGGTTAGGCCTTCTTTCGAACAGCAAAGATTCAACATTTCAAGGCTAATTGCGTTGCTCAAGTCAGAGAAAGAGAGACGTCAGAATGAGTGGTCTCAAATCTCACAACAGCGGCGCAATTAGATCATTATGTTGTGTACGTAGACGCGCGCGCGCACATATACACATGAAATACAGATTTTTGATTCTGAATTAGAGGGTGCGTGCGTTCTTACACCACACAAACATCGCGTAATCACCACACACACTCAATTATAGAGCGAGTGTGTGTGTGTGATTAAACACACACACACGCTCATATTTAATTATCGCGTGTGTAAATTTAAACAATCATACGCACACGTAAATATATAGTGCATTAGCTTACACACATTCAACACACGTATGTAAACTATTATCTGGATTATAAGACACCGCATAGAGTAAGACGCTCCTCCTAAACGTGTGTACGGTTGTCAATAAGTTATGCAAATTTTGTTTTATATACAGCAATAAAAACAAAGATCCCCGTATAGCTTTACCAGACTGTTGGGGCAAGTGCTGTTAGAGAGCACCTATGCAGATCGATACGGCACACGAGGGGGTGGGTGGCCAGCACCACGCCCGGCCGCCTTTGTCTCCCCCAGTGGCGATGTTTTATGCACCGCACCAGGTACTAATTTGAGGCTGAGTCGACCTAGGGGAGGCCAAGGACCGGTTCAGATAACCGTCACTGATGTTGGCCGCGAGCGGGAATCGAACTCGGATAGCCAGTTTCGTAGTGAAGCGCTCTAACCGCTACACTACTGCTCTCCGTTTATATCCAGCACACACACACACCAGAGTAATAGACACATCACAATCTTCGCTTTGACATGCCGGGGGAGAGAGTGCGTCTCATATGCAGAGAATGCGGTAATAAGCATACACACAATTCTGTAGGGTATACACACAGTAATTCTTAACATGCATGCACATACAATGCTTAAATGCACAGACTCACCCGTCAATAACTACGTGTGCGGAGAGCGGTGGCTTAGTGGTTAGCGCACTGCGTTATGAACCAACAGAAGTAGCGAAACATTTTAAACCGCTTCTGGGTCTCCCTTACGTCGACTCAGCCTTAAATGAGTATGTGGTGTGGGTGTGTAAACATGAGCACTAGGGAGACAAAGGCGGCCGGGCGTGGTGTTGACAATCACAGTCCATTGTGCGCCGTGCCGGCCTTCATTAGGTGGCTTGCTAACAGCACTTGCCCCAACAGAGTATTTAATGCTATGCGGGAGATCTTTGTCTTTGTACTTAAAACACCGCTGATCAGCTTTGGTATTGGTGAAGAGGGGAAGCCCGGATATGACTTGCCACTGGTGTTAGCCGTGGCTGAAATCGAAGTCAAGTGGCCAGGGTTCATTGCGCAGTGCGCTAACTGCTGCACCACCGCTCCACCACACATGACCTTTACACACACACGTGTGTGTCCTTTACTTATACGCGCGTGAGAGCCTATTATGGCAAGAGGCTCGCGTGCAGGGATGAGGCTGGACGCGCACGTGTTGTGAATTGTGGTGGTTGTTGTTGTTGTTTTTGTTGGGGTGATGCTGCGTGTGTGTGTGTGAGTTGTTGTGGTAGTAGTGGCGGTGGTGACTTTTCCCGGATGCCCGCAGTTATCTTTGGGCAGCAGAAACCCGGGGCGTCTGGAGGCGGATATTGAGTGAGGGGCGGTGGGGGCTAGAGGAGGGGGGGGGGGGGGTGGAGGGAGAACAGAGGGGGGGATCGCTCAGAGCAAAACCCGCCGACGATAAAATCGCGATGTGAGCCGCATGCCGAGGACGCGAGGGGGGAGACTCGGACGGCGAGAGTGAGAGTCAGGGAGAGATAAGGAGAGCGGGAGAGAGGCGCAGACGAAGGAAGAGAGGGGGGAGTGGGCGGAGAGCCGCTGGCTTCTGTGCGGAAGATAGCGTGGGGGGGGGGGTCAAAGGAAGAAGAGAAAGGTGGTGGGGGTGGTGAAGGGGAGGGAGGGTGATAGAGTGAGGGGCGAGATGGTGGAAGAAGCGAGAGGCAGCTGTTGGTGACGCGGGGAGAGATGAAAGGGGGAGAGCGGTGAGTGAGGGGAGATGAACGCAGCGAGATAGTTGGCAATGCAGGAGAGAGATAAGCGAGTGCACGGGGGAGAGTGGTGAGCGCGTGATGACCCGGGTGAGCGAAGCGAGATGGTGGCAGAGAAAACGATCGCTGGTGGTGATTGGGAGAGAGGTGATGGACTTGGCAGAGGCGGAGAGAGAGAGAGTTAACGAAGTGAGTGGGAGAGGCGAGCGTGGTGGAGAGGAGGGTAGATGTAGAGAGAGAGAAAGTTGGACTCGCACTGTGCGGGTAACCCCCACATTTTCCAGGACCTTCCTGAACAATGTCGCTCAGACGCAGCGAGGCTTCTCTGACAGAATGCGTGCAACACATCGCGTGACCGGCACGCTCACCATATCCAGTAGACATTTCGCTGTTGCAGGCCGTGCCTGCTAGCCATCACGTGTCCCCTATCTCCAGTTCTATACCAGTGGCCCGGAAAGCATTTAGAGAGAAATTAAATCCGCGAGGCAAAAGCAGATCGTGTGTTTATTTATGAAATAAAATAAAACTAAATAGCTAATGTG